AAAAAAAAAAAAAAAAAAAAAAAAAGAAAAGTGCTATCATCTTGCTACGGCCACAAAAAAAAAAAAAAGGTGCTCTCACCTTACTACGGCCAAGTCAGCCGAAACAGCGCCGCTCTGTTGCCTGCTACCGGTCGTTGCACTCTGTCCCGAACTTGGCCGAAACAGCGCCGCTCTGTTGCCTGCTACCGGTAGTTGCACTCCGTCGCGAGAGCACATCCCTTTTTTTTTTTTTTTTTTCTGTAAGCGATAGCACATCTCGCTAGCGGGGAACACAATAGCTGGAGGTGGGGTAGCGACCCTCGCCGCAGTACTCACCAAATGTACAAAAGGAGAATGAATCTTCCCCTAGAACATGGCAAGATGCAGCACCATCATTTTTGTCTGTTGTGCATTTGTGAGTACTGAGGCGAGGCCCACCGTCCGAGGGTGCGAGGGTGCCGCCCGTCTGAACGCGGAGACAGCCCGCTCGCCCATCGCCCTTAGGGTCTCGTTAGACACTCCTAAAAGTTCCTGTTTTTAGGATTGCGTCTTGGTTGCACGCAATCCTAAATCCATTTTCGAGATCGAAAATGTGAAAACTGCGTTAGGACCAGTCCTAAAAGATTTAGGATTCCCCAGCCATTATCGTCCTAAAATTTCCAGTAGCCCTAGGATTAGTCTTGGCCTCGCGCGCATCACACCATCTTCTCGGAAGTGCTGGTGCAGAACCGGGCCGTTGGTCCAGAGGTCGGACATCGGAGGTATTCCGCAGGCCGACGGGCCCAACGGCCATCAACGGTAGCCGTTGGCAGGGGGAGGTGCATCGCGGTGGGGCGGGGGGGGGGGACCGAGGGTAGGCGGGCTTCTGTGGTCGACCGTTGCATTCGTAGCTCACAGCGGAGGAGGATGACGATGCTCGCAGGACGACAGTCGTACGCGTAGTCGGGCAGTGCGCGGGCCCCAACGGTCGACTTTCGAATTCACGGCGTCCACCTCTGTTGTGTTCTGTGGCGTTTGTCGCGATATGAAGGTCCCGCCAGTTCGTCGTTTGTGGACATGCCGGAGGGCAGTTGCGCAGTACTGTGCTTGCGTGGTGCACCCGAAGGCGAGTTAGATGGCAGACGTGCTGCGTAGATTGCCTCTGCTGGTGCTGGTTGTCGTCGTCTTCCTGTTTGTCGTCTTCCTCCACGTCTGTTTGTCGTGCCGGCCGTGGAACACACGTCGGAATCGGGGGGCGTCAACGAGAAGGCCACGCACGGACCGACCGATGGCGAACATGCAGGCAGGCGCGCCACAAGTGGCAGGTCAGGGCGGAAGTCTCCCATCGATGGCGGCGGCCCGACAACGGTACGACCCGTCAGCGTACAGCCATCTGCAGTCGTGGGAGACGCCGCTGGCCCCATCGGACGCGGAGGTGGAGGCGGAGGAACTGGGAACGTTGCCTTTGGCCAGCGGATCGACCTAGTTGTTGTTTTCGCAGACGCTGATAGCAGGAGGGTCGGCTAGCAAGGAAGGCGGCGAGTTCACATCCCTCCTGGAAGCAGGCTTGGACCACGACGACGACGGAGAAGTTGATTTGAGGTTCGGGTTGTCGTCGGGCAGCGCGAGAGAGGCCAGTCGGACATTCATCATCGAAGACCAACCTTCGCCACGTTCCCTGCAACGTCCGCGAGGCGAGCACACGGAACAGTCGACACTTCGTGGCGGTGCTTCCCTTACTGCACGTGCAGGGCCGTCATCGACAACGCGCCAGAGTGGAGCGAGCACGTCGTCCGTCGATCCACTACGAAAGACATTCCCCGCACGCAGCGGGGTATCGGCAGCAGCCGCACGCATCAGCGGAGTCGCGGCAGCGCCCGCCCGCAACAGCGTTGGGCGATCGAATACGCCCAACCCTGCACCCACGCCCGGTGATGAATTGAGAGGCGATCCCGCTTGCAGACCGGTGGTGCGTTCGCAGCCTACGGTGGAGAACATAACAAAGGGAGTGTCGAACATGAGGGCACACAACGATGGTGTCGACGAGAATGGCGGTGCTGGCGAGGATGTCGACGATGGATACAGGGAGGACGTCGAAGCCGTTGACGACGACGGCGATGCGCCTATCCGGCCTTTGGGGAAGGTGGGTGGGAGGGGGAGAGGCCGCGGCAGAGGTGGTGGTCGAGGTCGATCCGCACGGCGTGGCAGCAGAGTAGCCGATGTCGACGATGGTGGAAAATCAGCGGCGTATTGGTCCACAGACGATCAACTGCTCCTGGTGCGCTGCAAGCGGGAGCAGGACATGCACCTTGTCGGCCTTGGGCACAACTACGGTCGGATGCGAACGAAAGAATGGAAGTGGGAGGACATTGCGAAACGAATGGCGAACGTGGGTTGTCCTAGAGAGGCCGATGACTGCATGAAGAAGTGGGACAATCTATTCCAGAACTACAAGAAGATACAAAGGTTCCAGAATGCCAGCGGCGAGGCAGATTTCTTCAGGCTGTCAAATGAAGAGAGGAGGGACCACAATTTCAAGTTTCGGATGGAGAGAGCGCTCTACAACGAGATCCATGGAGGCATGCTGGGAAACCACACCATTTTTCATCCCAACATCGCAGACACAGGTAATCCGGACGACGTGCAGTTACCGAGACGAGGAGCGGGCGGCGGGGAGTCTGTCGGTAGTGAGGCGGTCGGTGATGGGTGGCCGGAAGAACGTTCTTCGCCGAGGGAGTTCGACAGCAATGTAGGCAGCGGGGCCCGAAGCATGAAGCGGAAGAACACGCGACAGCAGGCGCTGGAGTCCATCTCCACTGCGATGATATTCATTCATTGTCATCATCATCGGCAGATTGGAGCGTAACGGTCGTCAGAGATTGAAGCAATGTCGAGGGCGGTAGCTGAGGGTGCTTTGATGGCGAGTTGCAGTGATGTAGCCCATTTTCGAGACCGCTGTCCATGTACAGCCGTCCACGTCGCAGATGACCTTCATGGTGGCGAAGTGTAGTGTCAGCGATTTGTTTTCCTTTTTTATTTGTATTTTTTTGTTTCCCCATTTATTGGGGTTTGATGTCTTTGCTGAGGATGCAGTTGAAGGTTTTCGGGGAGGGCTGCCGCGGAAGGCATGCGTTGTTGCAGGGCGAGCCGTCGCGGGGGATCGCCGCAGGTAGCAACACAGTGGGGCTGTGGTAGGCGTCGGGTCGGTCCATGCATGGCGGATCACATGGGGAGGGTTGTTGTTGGGTTGGTTGGGTAGACAAAATTCCGCACGAAACACGCACGAATTAATGGGGGGGGGGGTGGGGGGTGTTCTTTTTTTTCAGGGGTTCGGGTGCGCATTGCCATGGTGCACGGACACATTATTTAACCCAGCCCGCGAACGCTAACCGCAGTCTGCGCAGTTCTCTTATACACATCTAGATGTGTATAAGAGACAGCGGCTGTACTAGGCGTCGGGTCGGTCCATGCATGGCGGATCACATGGGGAGGGTTGTTGTTGGGTTGGTTGGGTAGACAAAATTCCGCACGAAACAGCACGAATTTAATCTGTCTCTTATACACATCTAGAAGGAGGAGGAGGAGAAGGAGACAGACGACGACGAGGAGGAGAGCGAGGAGGCAGGGGAAGTAGGCACGTAGGAGAGCAGCGAAAAGAACTGAAGGATGAGCAGAAGGGAGGGCGGAGGAAGACAACACGTAGGGAGGAAGATGAGGAGGCAAATAAAAATTTTTATATATTTTTTAATTATTTTTTTAGGCAAAGGAATCTATCTGAGTAGAGGCAAAGGAATAGAGTAGAGGCAAAGGACAGGAAACGGGGGACAAGAACGAGAAGAGTCCGGCCATACTCACATTCGGGCTTTTCTGGATGCATCTGACCGCGATTACATCGAATCCTGAACGTATCTGACTGCAATTACGGTGAGAAAGCAGTCGAAAAAGTACAACGGTAGTGTGACTACGCCCTAAGGAGGAGGATGGAGAGTGCTCCCCACCAATAGATGGAGCCATCCAAACGAAAAAAAAAAAAAAAGAAAAAAAAAGAAAAAAAAAGAAAAAAAAANGTTCTTTTTTCAGGGGTTCGGGTGCGCATTGCCATGGTGCACGGACACATTATTTAACCCAGCCCGCGAACACTGACTGGAGTCTGCGCAGTGTGCCGTCGATCAATCCCGCCAAATTCGTGCCGCCTACGTCCGATCCTGCCAGTCCCTCCGCAGTGCTGCAGAAGCTGCGCTCTAGTTAAGGCCCGCTGGTGCACGCCGCCTGCTTTGTGCGCGTCGTCGTCATTAGAGAATTCTTCGCCATCGCCACGGCCCGTTGTTTTTCGGAAGCGGCACAACCGTCTGCGCTCTCGTCCATCGCGCCTTCGATCGTCGGTTGTCGTTGTTGAGTCGCATTCGTTTTTTTGTGTCAAGCAGCCTGCGCTTCGATCCGCCACGTGGACGCCGACCGTGGAGTTCATTTACTCGTATCCATCGCTGTGCCCTTGTGCGGCAATCGACGGACGGCGCCGCATCTTCCCGCTTCTGCTTTCGCGGTGGCAGATAATGGCTCTGAGGTGAGGAGGCGGCGGTCAAGCTCGTGGCAAAAAACGTGATGCAGTCACTGAACAGACGGCGGGCGGTTCAGGTTGGGGACGTCACACGACAAGGACGAAACGATCACGTCAGGACGCGATTTCTGTCAGCGGCGCGCACTTGGACGTCGACGGTTGGGGAAGACCAAACGACGGCGAAGGCGAGAACGAGACGGGATACCCCGCTATGGAGGAGGTGGCGCGAATGGAGCACGACCAGGTCACACCTGTTACAACGCCGCAAGGGAGACATCGCGAGGATGCAGGAACCGGGACATCTGCGGCGACGCCACGTGTGGAAAAAGCACTCGGCGAACGAGGATCTGGCGGTGCGGCGACGCCATGTGTACAACAAGCAGTCGGCGATCGAGGATCTGCCGGTGTAGTAGGAGATGCGGCCATGCTTGGAGATCAGGCGCAGGTTTGTGGCGCCGCTGCGGTCGTCGGCGAAGCGGCGGGCACACCTCGTGAAACGGGAGGAGGGGGGCGGAAGGCAGAGGAGGCGGCGAGGACATTGGAGATCCCCCGCGCGAAAAAGAGAAAGGCGGCGGAGGACGACGAGCCGCTTGTGAACAGGGTCCGCAAAGGCGGAGTGGTCAAAGAGCTGGCTAATCGGGCGAAACTATGGGTGGACGACAAGTTGTTCTGGACGTCGGGGAAGGGCCGCAGGCTATACAACATTGTGAACGACGCACGGGAGTACCTCGTCGCCATCGCCAAAGGAGTTCCTTTGCCGAAGGGCCCGAGAAGGGTGGCCTTGCCGAGGTCGAACGTCACGGTGACGAGGCTCACTGATTCCGCGCAGTTGCAGGGGGCGACTAATCGCGCGTCGAAGTGCCAGAACGTGGTGATGCGTGTTCTGCACGGATGGGTCTTCAAGTCCGGAAGCAGGGAGAGGGGGTACACTCTCGCATTCCAGTACACGAATCGGTGGCCACGGACTTCGCGTGCGCGATGTGGCTCGGAGAGGACTGGAGCAACGTCATTAGCCCCGCCATTTGCGCGCACACTCTGGAGCTCGGGATGGACCTGCCTCTGTGGTATGCAGGTGCTTACATCGAAGACAGGCCCCGGGATGATGACATGGCTGCTTACCAAGAAGCGACTGTCAAACGATTGATTGCTGCGTTCAGCGTGGCGGTTGAAATAGGGAACGCGATGGATGGAGGATGCATAAGTCATGACCGTTTGTCCCGTGTTGCGGAGAGCTTTAAGGTCCTCTTGACGGTTGCCATGTGGATAATGCGATTGGCGGGAGACGATCCGAGGTCTCACTACGAAGCTTTCTACTTCTGCAACCTCGTGGCGAAGCCCGTTATGGTGGCGTCCATGCACCGCATCTTCGATCATCGTCGCCACACATTGGCTGCCGCGAACGCTGCAACCGAGCGACTGGGGAAAGCGCAGTTGACGTTAGGCCACGCGCCCAATTTCATCCCGGACTGGGCTAAGTGCGGGGTGAAATTCGGCCATGACGCGAGTTTGAGTGGACCCGACGAGGCGAGAGGGCTTGAATGGTTGGGCACAGGCCCTCCGACGTGCGAGGACGACGACGACGACGATGATGATGCCGAAGACAGCTGAACGCCACGCGGGAGGAGGACGACGCCGACTGAGACGACGATGGTGTGTGTCGGCGGGGGGTGGGGCTTTCGTAGCAACCTAGACACCGAGGCCTCATCACGCGGTGATAACGACGAAGGTGCTGCACAATCACGACGGGGACGATAGCGACGTGTGCTGATTGCGCCATGGGGACGTCGGTTCGGGCGAGTATGGCACGATCGCGGCGCGGGGCAGAGGGAGACCTTGAAGACAAGAACAGCACACGTCAAGTACATGTGCATGCAGTCTGCGGAAGAGGATGCCCACGCGTGATGATGCCCCATTCGACAACGCTACCCACACAACGATGGTCGCGCCGCTGCGGAAGAGGTTGCTATCGGTGATGATGATGACGACAATGACGACGATGATGATGATGATGATGACGATGGCGATGATGATGATGATGATGATGATGATGATGGTGATAATGACGTCGATGGCTATTGTGATGATGATGATGATGATGATGACCCGTCGGAGGTGGCGCGGGCAAGGCAATTTTTTGTGTTTGTTTTTGGTCGAGCAGGGCGCTGCTCGACGTTGTAAATACAGTGGACTCGGAAGTGCGATCGGTTCAGTAGGGGACTTTTCGTGTTATTGCAGATATCTGCTTCTGCTTGTCATTTGTTTTTTTTTTTTTTTTGCAAGGCGACATCTGTTCGCGCGATGGCGGATGTTGCAGCAGATATGTGCTT